GGTCACTACACTTCTCTGGTCCCCTTAATATTTCCTTCCTAGGCGTTTATAGCTCTCGAAGCTAGACATGTCCTCTAGGCCTCAGCCGTCTGTTTAAATAAGTTTTCCGGTTAGAAATCAGTCTTACCTGTTTTCCTTTTTACAGTATGCCTATTCAGTGAATTCCATGCCTTTTGGATGTCAGAACCGCGAGATATAATGCAGTTCAATGCTTACCGACAGGAATTCGAAGTTGCCCTAGAGTCAAGGGTACGAAGCAAGGACTTTGTTTTCAGGATCGTTCCCTTGCAGGACCCTAAATGAGCTCCTGGTCTTTAAGACCAAATTTTGGATGTGGTAATTTGTATGACTCACTGACTTGTCTCTGACCCGCAAAGTTGTTCACGTTTTTTTCTTCCCGTTGGTTCCGTCTTCATTATTGTCTTTGTGATCCCTTCTTAACTTCCTTAAAAAGACCACAAAACATTCCCAAAAGTGGCAAAATATGACGGTCAACCGTCTGGGGAAGATAAAAACCAGTGACTTCTTTTCAACTTTCTTCGTCCCTAAAAATCTGCTTTTTGTGTACAATGTTTCCTCAACTGTTTCACCTTTTCTCCTGATATTGGTAATACATACTTAATTCCGTCATGTTAAGTGTCATTTATCGACATTTTTCATAATAAGGCAAGTCTGGTAGCTGAAGAGCCGTAGTTTTTAACGTTGACTCATGCAGCTGATAAATGCACCTTCTAGTTTTGCTAAGTTTGTTTTAAATTTCAAATGAAACCTGCCCCACTGCCTTCGCTTGTTTGAAATAGGTATGAATTATTTTCCTAAAGGTGTAATTTAATATCAAGAATATGTCCTCTCTTATTGGACACACTTCACATAGGTTAGCCAGGGCTGTTAACATGGTCACCGTAACGCAATCGAAAACAACTATAACATTTTCTTCTCGTCTGCAGAAAGTTTACCTGCCCTTAGACCGACTAATTGGAAACTTCATAAGCCTAGACGATTACAGCCCAGCTGATTATTGTACTTTTTAGAATCCACCAGTTTGCTCTTCACGCGGGGCTTTTGGAATATACTTTATCACTGCCCATGACTCTAAATGTCGCCGTAGGCCCTAAGCAAGTGTCCAACTTTCCCTAGCCGCACAGCTAAAGTGTTTGAAATGTAATTTGGGTCGATATGGACAGAGTGTGTTCGTTCTACCTTTCCGACTTCCTCATGATGGATAAAAATGGTGGGCTTATCTAGTTATGCACCTGAGCATACCTCCAATATCATCCCTTGAAATACTAAAATGTCGCCTGGCTACAAAATGTCGCTTCTATGTTCTGGTCAAAAGTGATAGTGTGAAATGCAGCTTACGGCTTTGGCGTAGGAAATCCAAATTTGGTTAGAAACGGGGAACAGTCATCAGATGCGACTCTCTCCTTGTCGGTCAGTATTATACGAGAAATATGCTAGCATGTTTGATTAGTCCCCCTTGCACTAATCAACACCTACTTAGACAAAACTAGTAGGTAGTTATACAGTAGCCGCCGAAGACCATGCAACGCTTATTATGAAATTTGCCTGG